CCTCCGCGTACTGTTTTTTTACACACAGGATGCCCGGGAAATCCCGGGAAACGACTCTCGCTGAGGCGCCGGCGTCATTTTTTCCCAAAATGCTGCTCTCGTTGAGGCGCCGGCCTCATTTCTGCTCCCGAATCGTTCCGAATCGTGCTCCCGCTGCAGCGTGGGCCTCATTTTCGGATCGGTGTTTGGCCTCCGTCGTTCAGGATGGCGTTCTCGCCCCAGCGCGGGCCTTTTTCTCGCGCGCCCATCCGCCCGCCACCACCGCGCCGCACCGCCACCACCACCACCACCACCACACCACCAACACCACCACCACCCACCACAACCACCAGCACCAGCACCAGTACCACCACCACCACACCAGCACCACCACCACCACCAGCACCACCACCACCATCACCACCCACCACCACCACCACAACCACCACCAGCACCACCACCACCACCACCCACCACCACCACCACCACCACCACCACCCACCACCACCCACCACCACCACCACCACCACCACCACCACCACCACCACCACCACACAACCACGCACAACGCACGCACACACGCACGCACCACCACCCCTACGCACGCGCGCGCGGAGCCACAGGTCCGCTACGACACGCGTCCGCGGATAGAGAAAATCAGCGCCATGGTAAGGGATGGGAGGGAGGGGTAGGACGTCAGATATGACGCGAGCGCACCTAGCTTGTCTCATCACCCCTCCCCTCCTGCCTTCCTTCCCCCTCCCTTCCTCCAGTGCCTCCCTGCTCCCATCCGATGTTCTCTCCCCGCCCTTCCACGCCCTCACCCTTCCTCCCCGTCCCTCGGCCGTCCCCCGCACACCTCCTCAATACTTCGCGCCTTCCGCATTCCTCCGCATTCTGTCGTACTCCTCCCCAATCAGCTGCACTCCGCCTTAATTAATTTTCCGCTCTCTCAATTTTTCCACATGCCCCCCGAACCTTCCGCATTCCTCCCTACCCCGCTCTTCCCAATCCCATCGTACTCACCCCCACTCCTCCCCATCTTTCCGTGATCCTCCGGACTTCGTCGCACTCTTCATCACTATCCACTATCACTTTTTCCGCATTCCTCCCTACGCTCCCGCATCCCTCCCCAATCCACTGCGCCCCTCTCCGCACCCCCCCCAAAACAAAAATCCTCCCAATTCCTCCACATTCCGTCGCACTCCTCTCCGTGAATCCGCCTTCCGCCCAAACTTTCCGCTCTCCTCCCAGCTTCTCCACTTTCCCCCTGAACCTTCAGCACCCTTCCCCATTCCGCTCTTCTCAGGCCCAACGCACCCCTCCCCACCCCTCCCCATCCGTCCGCCCTCCTCCGCACTTCGTCACACTCGTCCTCACTATTCCGTCTTCCGCATTCCTCCCTCCGCTTCCGCACTCCTCTCCGTTTTCCCCTGCCTGTCCGCACCATTTCCCAATCCATTCCGCTCCTTCCCATACCTCCCGAAGCCCTTCCAATCCTCAGCATTCCATCGGACTCCTCCCCGTTTATCCCCCCCCCCCCACTTTCCGTCTCACGCCGCCTTGCCTCCCCTTACCTCTCTGGTCTCCTCCTCGCCCCCCCTTTCCCCCTCCTCCGTGGGCTGTTCCCCCCCCCTCGTTTCCGTGTTCTCTTGTCCCTCCCCTATTCCCCAACCCTCGTCTCCCGCTCCCCCGTCCTCTCCCTCTCCTTTTACCTTGACTCTGCCCTCCCGCAAACGCTAACGCTACAAATATCGGAAACAATTCAGCAACACTCACGCGTAACATATGGTGTGAACGCCCCGCCCCCCTGAATGCAATGTTGGCTTCGGATCTTCCGAGTTTGAGTGTCCGGGCGGTGATGCATAAGCGTGCCCCCTTGAATTTCGGGGGCGGGGGAAAGCGTTGCTTATTTCTTCCCTCAACAGGAGCTCAATCACGAAAGTTGGTCCTGCACACGCATGTTCCCCTGCGAGGAGTGCCGGGGCGGCCAAAGGCGGGCTGGTGGCTCACTGGGAGCTGAGGTTCGACCGCTGCTCAGCCTCCGCGGTGGAGGCAGCAGCGGCTGCATGCGTGGTGTCTTCGGTCTATGCCTCCAGTCTCGCCCGTGTGGGCGTGCAGCTGCACGGTGCGCCCTGGCACTCCGCCTGGTGCTTGAAATGCTCGCTCGAAATCATGCCCACGTGGTGCTTGCTGCAGCGGGATGCGGACGGTGCTGGTTGGGCAGACAATATGGGTATCGCCGCCTCCTGGTAATACAAGGTCGTGCCTGTTCGTGTCCAGGACTGCCCGCATGCCCCCCATGCTGCTTAGTCCGAGCACTCCTGGTAGCTCACGGCATGGACCTCGCAGGGTGGGTGCCGTGAAATTGTGGGAGGTGGCGCGGCCCTGATCATCCGCGATGGCAGCGGAAGCGCTCGCCTGATGGGTGCAATCCTGGGCACCATTGCCTACGCGATGAACAAAGGCTTGCTTATGAGGACCTGATGTGGTCGGTGGTCAGCTTCGACGGCGCGGTGACACAGCTGGTGTGCTAGCGTTTTCCCAATGAGGCTGGTCCACGCACCTGTGTCGACGATCGCGCTGAACTGTCCAAAGGAATGCTGGGCATAGCTATGACAAGCCTAAGCGACGTACTCGCTTGCGCGGTCGTCGGCAAGCCACCCGGGGTAAAACAGCATGTCGGACCCGTCGCCTTGTGGCGAACATTGCGGGGATGGCTGCCCCCAGGTCGATGGCGGCGTACTGAAGGTGATCTCTTGTCTCTTGTGGCTGACCTTCCCGAAGCGTTGGTGTTTCCTCTATGGGCTCTGCGGGTCGCGGTGTGTTCGCAACGTGGATGTACGTGACTTCCGTGCTACCAGTTGCTGTCAACACGTTGGACACTGACAAAACGATGCGGGTGCTGGGTCGCCTCGAAGTGGGCCTCGACGTTCCCCGCCCAGGAGTTGTCCAGGCCCGTGGCGGCGCAGGCGTCGGCGCAACTCGCGGAACCGGTGGCTGCGCTCCAGAATAACGATCACGTCAAGGATGGCAAAGCCGTCCAAACGTATTCCGCACATGGCGCCACCTTCAATCTCCACGTCGACACTCCTGAACCGCTCTGTAGATTACCTGGCAGCGGTGGTAGCGGTGCTGCACTCGGCTGTCCGCCAAACACAACTTGATTCATCTGCTGTGCTCGCTCGCGACGTTGAGCCCGACGCTCCTCCAGGCGCGCGTTGCGCGCGGTCTCGTGTCGCGCTGGGACTGCGAGACGCGCAGTGATATCATGTGCTAGCTCGTGCACGATATTAATTATGAGGGCTGCGGTCGGTACCTCGGCGAGGTCCGCCCAGCTCCGAACCGCTACTCTGGGCTGCAAGGCTGCTCGCTCGAGCCGGCCCCTTCGCGGCCAAGCGAACTGGCCAAATCCATTCAGATATAAGATGTCGACTCGCTCGTCGTCGGCGGCCGCGAGCTGCCCGGGTGGCTGACTGATCTGGCCGGGAAGCGGCCCGCCCATAGACCGCCAGTTGCCGCATCAGCACTGCAATGCTCAGTCGGTGCTGACGGGCTTGCCGTCGAACGTCTGCATTCGGCACGTGCGAGATCATTGAATGTGGCACGCCATAAATCATTCGGAGACAGTGGGCCTGGAAGGCGTCGATCTTCTGTTGGTCAGCCTGGCGGAGGCAAAGGGTCTCCAGATTGCGCGTCAACTTCGACACCGCGCGCGCATTGAGCATCTCATTATTCCCGTCACGCGCAATTTTCGCGCGTTTCCACGCACTGCGCAAGGCTTCAGAGCAGCCGCGGCTTCGCCATGCCTGCGCGCGACGGGCGCCCGCGCATGCCCATCTGCCTTCGAGGAACTGCCGAGATTGATGGCGCTGTTCGCCGGCTTGATCAGCGCGCCCTGTGGCGTGACCACGTTCGCGTTGTGGCGGATCTGCCGGGGGGGCCTTCTGGGCGAGTTCGGCCCCAGGTCACGCGTGCCAGCTCGATCTCTCCAAGACGCACTGCAGACGTGGGGTGCTTTCTGATGTCAGACCAGCGTCGTCGGCGCACGCGATGTCGGCGCTGGTATCCGACGGCGAAGCCGGTCCGAGTGCCGCCGGAACGTCCTCGTCTACACCGACCATTATCACAGTGAGAACGATGATGAACATATATGGGCTAAGCGGGCACCTTAGCGCAATGCCCGCGCACTGCGAGTAGACTGCGGACGAGCCCTGTCGCCTCCGCGCCTCGACTGTTCGGCCGTTGCACATGGCAGCGATCATCGCTAAGTAGTGGTCTGGCAACCCAAGGCGCGCCAGAGCAACGCGCGTCGCTGCCGGGTCGACTCGATCAAATGCCTCTTGTCCAGTCCAAGGGAGTCGCGGACAGAGGCCCGCCCCTCGTCGCCCATGCCCTCTCAGTGAGCCGCTGCATGGGGGAGACAGCGTCCGTTGAGCTGCGTTTGGCACTGAAGCCGAACTGCGCGTTTCGGAAGCGGCTCTCAGCTCCACCACTTGCAATGCGGCCCAGAATGAGCGAGGCAGGGACTCTGTAGCAGAGAGACAGCAGTGAGATAGGTCTACAGTTTTCTGGGATAGATTCATCTCCTTTCTTGAGGATCGCCGTTGCGACAGAATGCCGCTAACTTCGTGCCGCCAGAAGCTGTTGCACATGTCTAATACAACTTCGCATGCATCTGGCTGATCTCGAAAGCTTTCCAGAAATCTGGGGGCGCGTCCTCGGCGCCCGCCGTTTTTCCAGTTTTCAGTCTCCCCAGGGGGGCGCCCAGTTCAGCAGCCGAGAAATTTGCGGACGAGGCGCGCAGCGATTCGCGTAGCCTTGACCCACCTGGGAGACGGTTGCCCATAGGTCTTGGCATCCACAGCGAGCGCTTCGGCGCAGCGGGCAGCCAGGGTGTCCAACCGATCTGTGCTCTCCACAAGTTTTCCTCGAGCCTTCCTTAGACGGCCCTGTGGTTGCATGCCTCAGCGTTTGAGCAGACGGAGCGGCCGTTCCTAAACCTGGCTCGCGATTTCCTCATGCTTCACCTCGACAGAAGCGACGTGGCCATGATCGAGAGTCTGGGTGCGAGCCGGATCTGGGCACGGCGCGCAGTGCCAAACATTGCAGCGGGCCAGCGCGTGCACCAGGCGCGGTGCGATACGCGCGAGTATGGGGCTAAACGCTGCAAGACGGGGGCGCCGATCAAGCGCCCAACTAAAAGCTGCTGACCACCCATCGCGAGTTCCAGCAGCTACGTCGCGCCCGCAGCCGCTCACCAGCGCGACCAGGCGTTCGGTGACAACGTGGCCGCGCGCAAGTCTGGCGTCTACCCCGACAAATTCTGCAGAGCGGTGGCGCGGATAGTCGAACAGATCGCGCGCCGGCGCGCGGGCGTCGAGCCTGCGACGTGGACTGCCGGCCAACTTCGTCACCCTTCATCGTGACGGAGCAGAAGGAACAGGCCACCGCCTGCGCGAACGACGCCGCGGCGGACAAGCGCGCTGGGGGGCCAGGCCCCATGGGCGGCGGAGAGGACTTCGCCGAGACTCACGACGCGAAGGCCGACGAGACTGTGGACGGCAGGATCGGGGTCAGCGCACTTTCACAAAGGGAGCAGCAGCTTGCTGCAAGCGGGCAGAGCTGGCGCTGCCCAAGAGACTACACGTCAACGTGAGCCACTTGTCTGATGGAGATCTGGGTCGCAGTCTGCAGCTCATAGGCGCGAAGCTGGCCGTCGTCCAGGCCGCCCAAGGGCCGGTCGGCGCAGCGCGCCTGTCGCGGCAGCGACCTAGCGCAAGGAGACCAGCGCGCCTCCACTTCGTTCCAGATTTTGGCGACGACGCCGGGTTCGACTACTTCGAGCTCAAGGGCGCGGAGGACAAGAACAACTGGTATTTCCGCATAGTTGGTCTAGCAACCACCTCCCACGTGGCGACCTTGATCGACAACGATGCCAGCCAGGAGTTCGCGCCCGCATTCGAGAGGTGCTGGGCCTCCTGGGCAAGGGTGCTGGACCGAGTGCATGCCCATATGGAGACGGGGTCTGGCGGCGCCCTGAGCGAGCTGCTCCAGTTTTCAACTCGGCGCAGCTACCTACCACTGGACAGGCGCATTTACAGCTCGGTCGAATGGAACGCAGGGAGCCTGGTGGAAGGAGCTCGCGGCCAGGACGATCGAGCACTCGTCGGTCAAAGACAAGGACGAGATGCACGCGCTGGGCATCGTGGCGTCGGGCTCCAAGAACTCGCTGAGGCGGCGCGCGGGCTTCAGCCCGGCACAGTCACAGTGGGCGTTGGGGCGCGACCCCAAGACGGCGGCCGACCTGGCGGACGACGCAGCCGATTGCAGCACCCGCAGCCTCGCCGCCAACGACGAGAAGATCCGCCGACGGCATGCCATACGCACGGCGGCGCGGGAGTCGTTCATGTAGATGCAGCGCGACGACCAGCTCAAACGGGCAATCCTGGCCCGCGCGCGGACTGTGGCCGCGTCTTTGCACGCGGGCGAGCTGCGCCGCGTGTTCCGCCAAATCAGAAGGAAGTGACAGCGTGAGCAGCACGGCCGCAACGCCAAGAAGAGCATATGGCGAAGACCGTGCGTGGCAATCGGTCACCGGGGCCAGAACGCCTGGGTCTCGCTCGGAGACCATGCTATGCTGGTGGCCCCAGACCACATCAAAGCGCTCGCTCCGGAGGACGTCTGGTCCCCGAATGGCAGGGGCGAGATCGGTCAGGCCGTGGCAGAGCTCGATCAAGCTCGCAACTCACTCGAGCAGGAGGAGGCCCCGGTAGAGGACATACGCCCGCCGCCGCCCGAGCCTGAAGTCGACGACCTCAGGCTGGAGACGGAGGTGGACGAAGGGCCGGAGGCAGCTATCGATGCTCCGGCGCCCGCGCCCGAGACGGACATGATCATGAATCGACCCCCGCCGTGCAGTGGAGGCCCGACCACAAGAAACTGTCCATAAGAAACCCAGCCCTGAGACCCCAGGACGCCCGTTGATTTTGGCGCGGGAACGTCGCGCCTCCCGTCGCCGAACCATCGAAACCCAAGAAACCCAGGGCACCCTTGGTGTTTCTTGGCATGGGTCTTCACTGTAGCCTCTGGGACCAGCTGGGTTCTGACGACGACGAGCCGCTCTCGACGGATGAGGCAGCTCGGACTTCGGCACGGTCCTCAAGCGCCTGCAGATGTCGCGCGACCAGCCAGCGGCAGCCGCAGAGCCTGCGAAGGCAGCCTCGCGCGCGCCAGAGGTCGCCACGGACGGAGGCGGCCGCCGAACCACCCGCTGGAGGGGCCGGGGATGGATCACGGTCAGCTCCAAGACAGGCGCTGCAGACATCCATGGTCGCCGAGCGGATCATTCGCAAGCAGGCAGATAAGGCGATTCGCTGGAAGGATATCAAGGATGCCGACCAAGAGCTGTAGAGGAAAGCTGCAGCCAAGCAGTGGAGCGAATGGCAGAAATACGGCAGCTGCCAAGTGCTCTCTATCGGCGAATCCGAGGCGGTCCGCGCAAGACGGTCAAGCCTGGCATGATCTTGCCTCGCCGGTTCATCTACCGAGACAAAAACGCACCGCTACGGACCGACTAGCAACCGTTGCCGGTCAAGGCCAAGGCCCGACTCTGCGTCGGCGGTCACATGGACCCGCGCTTGACTATGGGCGACCTGCGCACAGAGGCGCCCACGGTGACTGGCAACTCTACCTTGCTTTTCTTCACGCCGTGTCAGCGCTTCACCCTGGCCATCTACGCCGCGAGCGCGCAGGCAGCGCTCATGCAGGGCGACGAGCAGCCCGACCAGCAGCTGTTCATGGCGCAGCCCCGTGAAGGCCTTCCAGGCTTCGACCCGAAACAGTTGATCCAGATCCTGAAGGGGGCCTTCTGGTTGGCTACCGCACCGAGACAATGGTGGGCTAAGCTACGTCGGACGCTGCTGAAGTACAGGAGTGGCTTACGCCCCACTTCCCGTTCAAAATGCTTCAAAATCCGCTGGATCCTGCGCTGTACTACGGTTTCGACCCGCTCGACGAGCTGTGCGTGGTGGTGGCTCACGTGGACGACCTGCTGCTGGGTGTTTCCACCAAGTACCAGGTGCTCTACAACAGGCTATATAAGCTGCTGCCGTGGGGCGACTGGCGAGGCTTGCCGTTTGCATTATGTGGTAAGCAGGCCTGAGGAAATGAAAATGGCGTGCTACACCTGCGGCAGACCGCAGACCGAATACGCGAACACCATCGAGGACATCTCGCTGAGCCAGGAGCGGAAGAGAGCGCTGACAGCAGAGGCGACGCCAGCCGAGTTCTCGTACAACCGCTCCGCTCTAGGAGCACTGGGTTCAACTTGGCTCTCATCGCAGACTCGACCTGACCTGGCGGCTGGAGTGGCCATGGGCCAACGCACGCAGAACACGCCCACTGTCCAGGACTTGCTCGAGACCAATCGGCTCATCAAACTGGCGCGGAAACACGCCGGCATTCTACGTGGAGAACGACGAGTAGTTATCGTGGACTGGAGATCGGGTACCATCAAGCGTGTGTGCAGATCTACACTAGCAAGACCATGTCTGCAATGGACGCCATAAGCTGTGCACAAATGGCTCGCCGTGTTTTTGCTTCGCTGGAGGTGCCGAATGCCCGACCAGAAGACATTCCACCAAGCTTGCTGCCGCTCGCTCAGGTCACAGATTGCGCTAGCTTGTACGATACTATGCACAAGGACGGTTCTCCCAAGCTCCAGTGAGACCCAGTGGGCCTAAAGGAGTCCCTCCAGGAGGTCAGCGACGAATTCGTGGTAGATGATCAGCGTAGAGAGCTACCTCTTGTGGGTCCCGACCGACCAGCCGCTCGGCGATCAATTCACCAAGCGATCTATTGGCAACGCCATCAGGGCGGTGCTACGAGGCACACGTCTAGCACTGCAGCATCAGGAGCCCACGGGTCAAGCTCGAGAGCACGAGACACATCTCAACAGTGCCAGTTCGATTTTCAAGCGCGCGATGCGCCTGATTCATTAGCTTGATTTGCGTGCAAGTATCACGTCTATTCTTCTAAGTGGCAGATGCACAGATCAGCGGAGTTCTACACGAATGTGAAATAGACTACTGCAATGCTGATCTGTATGTGCATGCTGGCGATCGTGCAGTGTGAGTATGCAGTTCAGCGGGCGGTGACAGACCTTCCGTATTCTTCTGGGCTCAATTGTTTCAGAGCCGTTGCTCGGCGTATCGGGAAAAACCCGCGCACGCTTCGCATGAACTCAGATTCGCATCATCTCATCGCTGAGATATCGTTCGCACAATCACATTGCCATCAGACATCATATTGCAGTTCTGTCTACACAGCAGGTGGAGGAGGAGGAGGAGGAATGAAAGGAGGACGGGCAGGAGGAGGAGGAGGAGAAGGAGGAAGAGGAGGAGGAAAAGGAAAACCACCCCGTGACCGCACATATGCTCCCGTTGTCCTGCGGGCACTTCCGCGCGCCAGCGCGGGAGCACCGCCGCGCCTCAGCGTCGTGGGTAACCAGCAGGTCCTGGCGGTCTGGGGTGTCCGACCACTCCGGTTTTGTTTGAACAGGATCAGGAGGAAAAGGAGGAGGTACATCCTGTGCTGCTCGGGTAATATGGGAGGGTGAAAAAAGGGGAAGCACGAAGAATACCACTCACCCTGGTGGAATCCGCGCGTGACCATCTCCAATATTCATGCAAACATCCCGCACACACACACACACGCACATCCGCGAGTGGTTGACAAATCCATGCCTGGGAACTTCTTGGCGCAGTGACTCGAGGGCCCTTCCCATGCAGATCCATGCCTCGGGCGAACGAATGCTGCTGATGATGATGATGATGATACTTGCGCCGCTGACGACGAGGGCGACGATGCCGATAACGGCGACGATGCTGATGATGATGGTGATGATGACGACGACGGTGAAAAATGATGGTGACGCTGGTGATGGTGATGCTGCTGTTGTTGTTCACTGTCCTAGAAGTGTCGAAACACCAGCAGCTCCTCATGCGGGTATCGTTTTGAAGTCAATGGGCAACCGTGAAACAGCTCGACTACATTATGACGGTCCCCGCCATCTTGTCCAATACATGCTGTGTCCAGGCTTTCTCGCGCGACTTCCGATCGCATCCGTTGATAACAACAGTTTCAATCACATCGCCGTTCAATGATCCAAAGCTTCTCGCGAATTGGCCTTCCCAAGTCCACAAGTTAAATCTAGCAACGCCCACTCAGTCAGAAGATCTCTGGGCGTTTGTCGTGCAACTCGTTGGCAATTCCACTCCAATACACGTGGGGTCAGGCGCTGGGTCGTACTCCTCCTGCCGCGCCACGTGGCCTGCGTGCCTCTGCGGTCGACGGGCAGCAACCACGCCCAAATCAGGGATGTCCAAGAATCCCTTCAGATTCCGAAGCCCCGCGTCCCGGCACCTGGCGCACTTCTCATACGACTCCGACTTGGCACGATGCAGCCTGGAACGCCTGCGAAATTCATCGTTTTGCGCGTGCGAGACCCAACCGCGCTTGCAACCGCCATTGCGCCAATATGGAGGTTCGAGCAGGAGGTCAGCGATGCTGCAAGTAGGTCAGCATGGAGTGTGTATGGGGTTGAAGTACAAGGGTACAGAACCCCTGGTCCGTTGGTAGAGAGATGGAGGGATAGATGGATATCTTTCCCTCCCACGCGATCAAGGTACGATCGCTCCAACTCAGTACCTGAGCCCAAACGGCCAGGTGCGGGAGAGGTAAGGATAAGGAGTATATATGAGGGTATTACACGGGTTCCTTCCACACCCCCCGTCCCGAATCCCGCCCGTGAAGGCAGGACTCGGGAACAGAGGATAGGAATCCGTAACCTCTGAACTCCTTTAGCCCTTAAGTCAGAAAGGCAGCTGAGGCTTAAAAACAGCGAAGCCACAGCTGCAAAGTGAGGTAAGAAGAGATGCCCTAAGTCTCCCTTTCATCCCCAGGCGCACTTTGGCGCCCCCTCGGCGCGCCCCCCAAAACGCTTCGGCACTCGAGGGAGGGGAAGAATGAGACAAGGGTAGGCGGAGAAAGTAGATCTGAGCATCAAGGCAACATGCAATCTGCCTCGCAAGATTTGCGAGGCAGGTGTTGCCACCAGCAAGCAGATAATTCTCGACGCAATACTGTTCAAATTGGTAAAATATGCATGCTAAGATCGTGTTGACGAACACAATCTTCAAATGAAACACAAGTCTGCCTAAAAACAGGTGTATACTAAGATCGCGTTGACGAACGCGATCCTGAAAAGAAACGCAAATCTGTATAAAGCAAGTGTCTGGCCAGACAAAATGTCGTGTTGATGAACACGAAAAGATATGTATAAAAAATCTGGTTGGCGACTCCCGTTGGCGTTGCTCCTTGGGAGGCTGCCTCGGTGATCGCAAAAGGCATATATATGTGTGTACGGCCACTTGTTGGAATGATTGAAGTGGCCCAAAAGAATATATTAGCCACCGCTCAAGGCGAACTTTGATGAAAGGAAGTTCTGCTCTTGAGCAGTGGGCCTTGCGGCCGACTCACTACGCGTCGCCGTCCTTGTAGAACCTGCGGTCCCACACCCTCTGGCCGTTGTACGTCGCGTAGCTTGTCGTAAACGTTTCCCAAGTTGTCCTCGGGATCCAGTTGCGGAACCAATCGTTGTACGTGATATCCTGGATGTACACATACTCGTCGTTGTTGATCGCAATGTAGATCCATAATTTGATGTAGTAACTCCAGTATCGAAGACCCCAATCGCTGTCCTCGAGGTTGTGGCGCCAGTAAGCAGCGTAATCAGATGTACGTGCTCTCTTGGCGCGCGGCATCGCGGGCATGTAGTCCTCCGCGCCTGAGGCGCTGGATGCAGCAGCGTCGCCAGGAGCAGGGCGGCGGCGGCGCGGCGCGGCTCCATGGCGCCATCGGACTGTTGGGAGTGTGTATCTGGATCGGTTCTCATCCCTGTACTACCCCCCCTCTGGTCGGTGTGTGACGGATCGAGGGAGCCTATCAGTTCGTTGGCAATCGCGGCAAGCTTGCGCTGGGTGAACTGTTCACGGGTTCCGTCCCTTCGAGGGAGAGAAACCGTAATCAGTCCGCGCGCCTGCCGCGTCTGCCTGTCAATGCGTCCCTCGTTCAGCCACCACTTTCTCCGACCAGCCTGTCCTGTCCTAATACTGACGTCAAGGATGTCCCACGCGTCGCGCATGTCCTCGACGGTCCAGGGCTTCTTGCCGACATTCACGCGGGCGCCTGTCATCTGATGATGGAACTTGAGGTCGTTGAGAAAGCGTTGTATGAGATTGGCGAATGGGTAGTACAGAGGTCGGTCGTCCTCGGATTCGCCCATTAATCTGCATTCGTGTGCAGGCGGGCTACCGGCTTCGACCCACTTCTGATACCTCTTTTTGGACGTATTGGCCAATCTCCGCAACTGATCTTTCTCTGTGCCTATGTGTGATCGCGCACCCGTCATAATGACGCGCGCGCCATCCTTCATGTATCTCGCGACCTGGTCCTCGGACAACGTCGTCTTGATCCAGTTCGTCAATTTCTGGAGGTACGCGAGGTCACTCTGTGTGGCGGTGCTCTTACCTGCGGCGCCTACGGCCACAGTGTATTGCCAACATATATCACAGAGTGTGCCGTCACCTGTGACGATCCCGAGGGACAGATCTCGACCGCAATTGTGACAGAGCGGTATGGGATGCAAGATCGTCTCGGGGGCCCCAGCCGAAGTCAGGTGATCGCGGGATCCCCAGCGGGTGTCCTGACCGCGAGCGAGGCTCTGACCGATCTGATTGATCGCCTCACGATTGATCTCGGTGTTTGGTCTGGAAGCGATCGATCTGCTTAAACCCTCGATCTCGATTCGAGACAACCTTTCCCCTGGCAGTCCTTTGTACTCTATCTTGACGTTGTCGGTATCCTCAGCACCGCCATGGCATACGTTCTCCTCACGAAGACTGCGAGCCTGCTTCTGCAAGGTAGCCTCGTTGTCGCCCTCCTCGCGCTTGAGCCCCGTCTGCTCGGCTATGATACGTACCATAGTCTCCTGATCGGGAGCTGCAGACGCAACACTGCCTGGGTCCTGGGGAATATCCTGCTCTGCGCCTTCCTCTCGAGGCGCAGCAGGTGTTTCCACCAGCTCTTCCCACACAGGAAAATCTGGATTACCGTATGTCGCAGTACAATTTTTGAATAGGTCACGCAATGCCTGAAGTGCAGGATGGTTGTCATGGATGACTTCCTTGGCGAAATCTGGTAGTTCCACAATACTATATTTCAAGATGTTCTGGTATACTTTGGAAATCCATTGAAAGTGCCTGTGGTCGACTCCTCGATAGTCTCTGGGTCGAGGTAGTGTACCAACTTTTTGAAGAAATGATCTGCACCACAATTGGGTAAGTCACGT